TATATCTGAGAGTTGATTATAGTAGAAATTGAAATTGTATCTAACACACAGATTGGCATGGTTGTTTTTCCTCCATGTTCACCACAGTAAATGTGCTTTAATTAAACCTAACTTTTGTATGAAGTAATCGTAAAAAAAATTGTGATTGAAGGTGATTGTGATGAAAAGCTTATTTGCAGAGCTGGTACAAATACACATCAGAATAGGGAAGAAAAGGGATTTAAGTGACTTTAAACATGGCATGGTTGTTGGTGCCAGACGGGTTGGTCTAAGTATTTCAGAAACTGCTGATCTACTGGGATTTTCACGCACAACCATCTCTAGGATTAACAGAGAATGATCTGAAAAAGAGAAAATATCCAGTGAGCGGAAATGCCTTGTTGATGCCAGAGGTCAGAGGAGAATGGTCAGACTTGTAGTACTAGTAAGTTGTACCCAATAAAAAGGCCAATAATAAGGCCGGTGAGTGTACAGTGCTCAACATATCGTCACCTTAGAATTATAAGGTTCTATTTGACATTTTTGTCAAAACTAAGTTATTCACACATTCTTAATACATGACAACTTATGTACATTATGAAGTTTTTTGTGTAATTTGTTTACATTAAGACTATTTATTTAAAAAAAAATTTAAATGAAATATTTTTATTTATTTATATATATATATATATATATATATATATATATATATATATATATATATATATATATATATATATATATATATATATATATATATAGTCAGTGAAACATTTTTACTGTTTATTAAACTTTGTTAAACAACTCATTTGCTCATTGTCTGTCTTCTTTTCAAGTCTTTTAATTTTATATTAAGCCTTGAAGGGCAAATACCTAATTTAATTCATGGGGCATATAATTCAATAATTCATATAAAGCATATAATTCAATAAATAGGACCATATTAATAACATAAAATCAACATCTACACTGGACAAATCTGTCTTGTATGCTTGATTTAAACAAGAAAAAAATATTCATCCTAAAACATTAAATGGAACCTTATAATCTCTCATTTAAATGAATATTTTCTATAGGAAGCTTAACAATTTTAAGCTTTTTTTTTTTTTAAAGAGCAAAATTCAAGAGAAACAAACTAACAAACAAAAAAAAAAGTATAAAATTTTGTTGACATTTTTGCAGTTTGTAATTTTTTCCAATATTTTGCATACATATTCCATACATTTATGTAGAGCACTATAAATATAGCATTTTATTTATCTCTTTATTGGTCTGATGGCTGTCTGAAATACTCGATTGTGATTGGTCAGTCGTGACATTCCAACAAAATAACAAGCTCAATCAAAATCTACTCAGTTGACATACTAAAAAAAAACATCTATTAACTTTCTAAGTAGATCTTAGAAGAAGAGATCAATAATCCAAACAACGTCACATCCCCTTTAAATAACCCAAATGAAAGTATGGCCTTGTGAACCAGCAATGAGAATGTGATCGCTCTGTGGGTCACATGACACGGCCAGCAGCTCCGCACATTCACTCTTCAGTATAAGTAACAGTCAGAGGCCAACAGGCCGCCGTGTTGTTGTGTAACTCTAAACCGGCCGTTCGCACAGAGATCACAGGCCTCGTGACAGCGTCCACACCGATGCTAACAACCATTACATGACATCAACATTAGCTCTCTCCAAACTATGAATGGTGGATGTGTGTATTTAAGAGGGAGGGATCAAGTGACTCACCTAAAACACACACACACACACACACCAGCACTGAGGTGGCAGTCAGCTTTATGTCTGTGACTCATGTTTACTTCACTTATTACACGCAATCGGCTCTATTTCCATGCTGCAGTGTTAATATTTACCTAATGATAGAAGCACATCTCCACACCCTCGCAAAAAAAAAAAAAGAAATATCCATAAGCTAAAGATGATGCTCCATGCTAGCTCATGGAATCACAAATACCTCTCTGTTTGGATCCTGGAAAGTTTGTTGCATTCATTTACTAGTAAAATTGTGATGGAGTTCTGGTTTGTAATTGTGTTCCTGAGGTAAACATTTGTATTCCTGGACCTTATGCTTATGCAATATTATTGATTTTTTTATGACATATATAATTTTTAAAACATTTTTGTACACTTATTACTATAAATAAAGCTAAATTTGAATTTTGATTAGAAATGTGCATTGGTAAGAAATTAATCTGTTAAACTTTAAAGATTTGTCCACCATAAAACCTTACATTGGATTAGTTTTGTTTAATAGCCAAAAATATGTTCTTAATACGTTAAACCTTTTAAACGTGGACCACAAAACCTCATGTTGCCTTATCCGTTTTGAATAACAGCCAAAAATACGTTCTGTGGGTCAAAATTATTGACTTTTATGCCAAAAATCATAAGAACATTAGTTAGAGATTATGTTCCATGAGATATATTGTATATTTCCTACTATAAATACATTAGAACTGAATTTGTGATTAGAAATGTGCATTACTAAGAACTTAATCCGTTAAACGTGGACCACTGACGTTATGTTGGATGGGTATGTTTTGGGTAATATCATTATTATTATTATTATATTATTATTATTATTATTAATATGTTTGGGTCAAAATTATTGACTTTTTTATGCCAAAAATCATAAGAATATCATGTTCCATGAAGAGATGTTGTACATTTTCTGCTATAAATAAATAAGAACTCAAATTTTGATTAGAAATGCGCATTGCCAAGAACTTAATCTGTTAAACATGGACCACAAAACATTGTTACCTTATCTGTTTTGGGTATTAGCAGAAAAATAGAAAACATAGTCAAAATTATTGACTTTTTATGCCAAAAATCATGAGAATATTAGGTAAAGATGGTGTTCCATGAAGATATGTTGTACATTTCCTACTATAAATACATAAGAACTTAATTTTAGTTGAGACATGTGGATTAAATCTGCACTTAATCTGTTAAACGTGGACGTTATTGTTAAACGTGTAAAACTTATGTTGCCTTATGTTGGATGGGTTTTGTTTTGGGTAATAGCTAAAAATACATTGTATGGGTCAAAATTGCTGACTGTCAACAATCATAAAAATATAAGTTAAAGATCATGCTCCAAGACATGTTGTATATTTCCTACTATACATAAATCAGAACAGAATTTATGATTAGAAATGTGCATTACAAAGAACTGGTAAACGTTAACCACAAAACCTTATGTAGTCTTATGTTGGATGGGTATGTTTTGGATAACAGCCAAAAATATGTTGTAAATGTCAAATTATTGACTTTTTATGCCAAAAATTATAAGAATATTGGTTAAAGATCAGGTTCCATGAAGATATGTTGTATATTTCCTACTATAAACACATCAGAACTGAATTTTTGATTAGAAATGTGTATTGAAATGTGCAAGTTAATTTGAACAATGTTAAAGATTCAGTTTCAAACTATAGATTGTCAAATAGTTGCATCTCAGCCAAATATTAGTCTATATATAGAAAATAGCAAATATTACCATTTGATGTGTTTTTTTATGTGCAAATTCTTATACATAAGAAACAATGACAAAAAATACTGCTCTAATAAACAATGACTATGCATATTGTATATATGTAGATATATTTTAAATCACACACAAATGTCACTACAAATAAAAAAACAAAGGAACAACAAAAATGTTTTACGCTCTGCTGTTTGTTTTCTGTTAACTATATATGAATGATAAAAGATTTTCTTGGTTTGTCTGACTTTCTATAAACACAAACCAGGAGTTTTCAAACAAACAATTCACAGTAAAAATTGTAGAGATTGGTTGTAAATCATGAGAGAATCCATTTATTTTATTATACTGACAAGATTTACACTTCTAATAATATGTCAGGGATAAGATAAGATATATAATGCTACACATGTAATATTTTAATTGCTTCTTTCAGTGAAAACGAACTACATAAATTGTCAGAAGAATGACATATATAAATGAACAAACATATACAAAAATGTGGCCATAAGTTTAACACTTTTCAAAACTGAAATGTATGCATTACTTGTAAAAATAAACTTTCCATAAATGTATGCTTTGTTAGGATATGACAATACTGGCAGAGATAAAAATAAATAAATAAATAAATAAATAAATTTAAAAATAATAATAATAATAATAATAATAATAATAAAACTGAGAAAATAGCCTTTAAAGTTGTCCAAATTTAGCGCTTAGCAATGCATATTACTAATCAAAAAATATGATATATTCACAGAAGGAAACGTGCAAAATATCTTCATGGAATTCGATCTTAATATACTAATTATTTTTGGCATAAAAGAAAAATGTATACTTTTTGACCCATAATTTCCTTTACTTTTCTATTTTTTTACCATTTCAAACACCCATTCAATAAAAGACTAGTTTTGTGGTCGAGGGTCAACAAACACAATCAGTTTTACATTTTGAAGTCATCATAACACCTGGACGCATGAAAAAGTTTGCAAAGCCCCGTTAAATTGAACAATTCCCTCAATTATTGCACAGGTACACATCCAAAAATGTGGCAAAAACATATTTAATAGACAATCAAATAACTCAAGACCTATAATAACATGTTTACTTAAAGCAATGTGGAATAAAACACCTCTAATTCTCCATATTCTCCTCACTCTGAAAGCCATTGAGTGTGGTTTGTAAGTCAGTGGACAGCGCCGTGGTGCTGAAACCTCTGGCGCCGCAGCCTCAACGCTCAGGTCAAAACAACATCAGATATTCACATCGATTAAACCGGAATAGCGTGCTGGTATACTATGAGCTGTCATTATGAACTGTGCACTAGTAACACAAGCGAAAATGGCGCATAATGCAATCCCAAAGCATGAAGACAATCAAGCAAAGGCCTGATCTCCAGAAACCCAAATCTCCCACTACACCATCATATCAGTCAAACCAACAGAGATTTCACTTTCTATCTCCAGGATTCAACTCGAAATGTGTTTTCTTTAAAGATACAAAACAGAATCAGCTCTTACTTCAACATTGACTGCTCCTTCTCCTCCTCTTTCTTCTGCCTGTCCATGACACCGAGGATGATCTTCCTCTCCTCCTCGGTGAGGTGGCTCAGGTCCGGCATCTCCGGCAGGACAGGCCCGCTGCGGGGCCCGGCTGGAGCCGACATCTTTACACGCCGATGCTGAAGAAGATCAATAACCAGACTTAATCCATGATGAATGCAAGGTCTATTTGATCAATCATCATCATCTGATCAGGATGATCAGGAATCAAAGCATCACAACCCACAGCAGCATCTCTGATGACGCTTGAAAACACTTTTAAAAAGGTCGTTAGGTTAGACTACCGGTGAAATGATAACAGTGTGAGCCCTTAGACTGTAGTACATGGGTTTTACAGCATCAGATCAATCATTCTCAGAGCAGCTGGTCCTTTTAAAGGCTACTGAAATGAACGCGATGCCGTCTGATGTTCTCCTCTTCCTCAACTCAAAGAGAAAATTAGTAAAGCGACGACGCATTATGAATAAAAGAGCAGATCTCAGATGTTTATTCCAGATCTCAGTTGAGGATGTGAAAGAGCCTCTTGCCTTTTATTTGGCCATCATCCTGTTCAATCCTGTCTAACCCATCGCTGTCATCGTCCTGGGAAAGTTCTTTTGCATCTCATAATAAACGCTCGTTTCCCTTTTGTGTCCCTCTGCTCCGTCGCCTCGCTTTCCTCCAGCTTTAATAATTCTTGAAGATATCTTAAATACACAAAAATGGATGCAGCGACACAGAATCCCAACTGGAAGAGTGTAGGAGGAGCTAAACCGCCCGGCCGGGAGGCGAATTTACTAATCGTACTATGGCGAAATGCTAGCTATGAATATTCATGAGGCGGCGTTTGTGATTGGAGCGAAGAGACTCGACGTCAGCACGGTCTACTTAACATTCTAAAGATGGCGTCGGGCATTGGAGAGCATGGAATAAACGTCAGTTAATATCCATAAAGCTAACATTGACGGGTATTTGTACATCCACAACTCGGATAACTACAGAGGAAATGATTTTATATTCATTGATTCACACTACAGCATATACCTGAAGTATTCAGTTTTATACTACATGTTCTTAAAATAAAACATTACACAATACACACTACGCTCCTAAAACATCACAATTTCCTTTGCATTTAACAAAACGTTCCTAATTAGACTTAAAGTAAAACTTTTTTTATATTTTACATAATAATACAGTATTTCTCAACCACGCTCCTGGAGGACCACCAGCACTGCATGTTTTAGCTGTCTCCTCTGTCACACCTATTACAGGTCTTTCAGTCTGCGAGAGGATCATACAGACTGCTTCCAGATGCTATTGGTCTATGCTAATGAGCTATTTGTCTGAATCAGGTGTGTTGGCTTAAGGAGACAAGGAAGATGTGCAGCACTGGAGGTCCTCCGGGAATGTGGTTGAGAATCACTGGTATAACACATTAAAATATGATCTTTCCTAATTGTTTGGCCAGACAATTGTTTGTTCAATATTTTAATTACCAAATAGTAATGAAAGAATTAGTGACAATTAGCCAAATAGATAGTAATTCTGTTATTCAGGAATAAAGCAGGAACTACTGATCTATATATGTTAAATGATCAAGTCTTGACTGTTATACGTCTCCTTGATGGCATGAATTTTAATCAAAACCTTTGCCATAGTAGGACTCGCAATTTCATTGACAGCAAGTGGAAAACCATAGTAAAAAGGCGGACTGGACTGTGCACTAGAACAGGATCGGTCTTCATATCTAAAAATAACCTGAGCAGGGCCTCTTGACTATGAAAAGTATGGACCCATAATGCATCAATTTATAACAATCTTTATGAATTAATACTAAATCATTTCTTTTTAAAGAGATAATATACAATAACGTTTTAAACTGCTAAATAAAACATCGTGCATATTGTTGATTTAGAGCCAAAATTAAAATACTTGAAGCTAAACTCATATTTATGCATTAATGAATTAAATATTAATTGGGTGATTCTTGATGTCCTTTAAGAATGCTCATTAACTATGACCTTCATTGATAGGACCCTTTTTACATTATATAATGCACAGTCCATTAGTTAACATGGTCATTCATAAGTGATACTGATCCATTGAACATTGTTTACAATATATTAAATGCAAGTTACAAAGTGTTTCTAAGGTCTTGCTATAAAGGCTATTTCTGACAATATTGATTATTCCTTACCCTCATTTATCAGATCCCTATATAGGTGAGTATTAAGAGAGTAGATTGAGATGATAGGATTATGAAGGGGTGAAGATAATCGTATATCTCATTAAAGCATTAAAGGCTTTTACAGGATGAGGAAAAACAGCTTTGCACATGCCACAAACAAACATTAAATATCAAGTTTGCATTAAATAATTAGTATAGATTTCTATAAGAGAGTCAGAAAGTGACCCAATACTCACCTTTCTTTCTTACCTTAGTACATTATTGCAGTCCCTCAATTGACTTCAAATATGGCCAAAACAACAACAGTGAGAGCACCTAAAAGGTAATCTTTATTTTACATATGGGAGCACAAAACCAGTCATTAAGATCAATATTTGGCTTATATCATTTGAAATCTGCATAAAAAAGCTTCCATTGATGTATGGATTGTTAGAACTGGACAATATTTTTGGATTTGGAATCTGAGGCTTCAAAAAACATGCAATACTGAGAAAAGATTGCCTGTAAAGAAGAAATTAAGTTCTTAGCAATACATATTATGAATAAAAATTACAATTTTGATACTTTTATGGTAAGAAATTTACTAAAACATTTTCATGATGGATGATTTTTGGCATGAAATAAAAAAACTATTAATTTTGACCCCTACAATGTGCTTTGGGCTATTCCAATAAATATACTCGTAAAACTTAAAGACTGGTTTTGTCATGCATGGTGACATATGAACAGCCGATTTGACTTATCACTCGACACTGTAAAACCTGATAAGTTAAGGTAACTCAAACCATTTGAGGAAACTGATTGCATCAAACCATTAAAGTTCAAAAACTAGTCCAAATGAGTACTGTGAACCTAAACCATTTGAGTAAATGAAGCAATTTGAGCACAGTAAAACTCAATAAATGAAGAGAACTCTAACCAAATGAGTACTGTAAAACCCAATAAGTTAAGGCAACTCAAACCGTTTAAGGAAACTGATTGCAACAAACAATGAGTTAAAAAAAACTGATCTATATGAGTACTGTAAACTTGCTCCATTGTTGAAGTAATGAGGAATTAAAGTAAAGCCTGGTTTATACTTCTACATCAAGTGACCGGCGTAACCCACTGCGCATGCAACGCGCGTAGCTGTGCATTTATACTTCTGCACGCTGTCTCTGTTGGTCTGCAATAACACTTCCGAAACGCTAGTTGGCAGTGAGGTGTAAATGTTCCTCTGTGTCGAGTTTCTTCGCTGGTGTTTTGCTTTTCCTGAACACTTCCTGAATGTACAAGTGGCTCAAACTCGCTCATTTTGAGGCAGGAACCGGCGGACGTGCAACAACTTTAACTATGAGGTAAACACAAACAAAACTTTCCATCCAGAGCTCCTTCACAGGACTCCACACTTGTAAACAATCGCTCCATCATGGTCGCGCCATTCGCGCGGCTCTCGGTCCTGCCCAGACTGGTCAGCGCTACCAAGCCGACCAATCACAGAGCTTGCGCTACGTGTCGTTGCGACGTGTAGTTACATTTTTTGAGAGGTGCATGTCAGCGACTCTGACGGCCACGGCGTAGGGCTATGCGTCAACGCCGTAGCATACGCATGCGTTTGACGCAGAAGTATAAATCAGCCTTAAATCATTACCTTCAACACCGAGTTCAAAACTCTTTTCAAATGATTAGAACTAACTTTCAGTAAATTGAGTTAACTACACTGGTTTCATTTGATAAAAGTTGACTGTTAGGTTTTACAGTGTAGATATGGACCAGTAGGGGCCTTCTGTGACTACTGGTAGGCTTAGAAGGCTGTTGTCATCCATTCACATGGGTAATCAGCTATATTTCAGCTAGAATTATATTATTAATTAAATTTCCCATTAATTGTATTTTATTAATGTCTACCCCTAGCCAAACCCAACTCCCAACCGTCACAGTAATGTAAAAACAAATCTTGATCTGGAGTCTTTTCCATTAGTATAGCTGATTAACCATGTGCATGGATAACAGCCTTCTGAGCATACCAGTAACTGCAGAAGGCCCCTACTGGCCCATATCTATCAGCTGATAACCACTTATAATGCCCATTTAATTGAGTCATAACATTCACAGCAGGTGCATATGAATTTAAGTAATGGTACGGCAAATTGAAAACATAAATATTCAGAGTAAACTTTTTTTTATTGTTCATAGTCTAACAACAGCAACTCTAGTACAGAGTCCATGTAAAATTAATTAGAAATGGGTGTTTAACAGAAACCTGCAATATACCGAAAGTCTGTGTGTATATATGACGGTCATAATCTTAGTATAGAAGTAAAGAAGAGGCCAAAGGGTGGAATATTCTGGAGCATGTCCGAGTGTGGAGAACAAAAACCCATCCACCGAAAGCACCTCTTTAATTGGTCTCTTACTCCACAACCTTCACCACATGTTTCTCCTTTTCTGTCAGCAGGGGAACAGATCCTGGCTTGCTGTGTTTGCGGACGTTTTGTTCCCTGAAACACACGCGCACACACACACACACAGAAGCACAGACAATCAGAATGCCAATCAAACTGAAACATGGATTCATTTCCTTTTCTTGCCAGCACAATGGAGACAAATGGCAGATTTAAAGACGGAGTGCGTCATTTTTCTTTTTCCTAATGCAAGATGAAGGTGTTAATGATGTTTTGGTATGCAATGCATAGGAGTTTATGCTTGAGGCAAATGAACGTTTTCATTTTTTGGTGAATTAACACCAACATGAGCATGAATGAATGAACATGAGCACTTACATTTCACCCAAAAAATGAGAATTTCCTTGCCTTTTCAGGTGATTCTAAATGTTTCTGAATTTCTTTTATTGACCACAAAACAAGGTATTGTAAAGAATGTTGGGGAAAAAGTAGTCATTGGCTAATGTTTTCTTCTAAAGGTGAGAATTAAACTTGGACAAAACTGGAATATTGGGAGGGGGGGGGCACAAAGACACGTTCTTTGTTTTTGTTTACGTAAAGTTTACGTTCTAACATTACTTTAGTTCCAACCCCAATCAGATGCACCTGGGCTCTTATGCCGCGGTTTGAGCATCCAAAATTCTGTTGTACAGTGCTACTAAAAGGAGCGGGATTAAACAAGATAATTAGACATTTAAAATAAGTGAGCGATTATTAAATTGCTGTACAGAGAGGTCATGTTTTGATTTTCGATTGGTTTCACGCAGTCACGTAATGCAATTTCGCAGGTCAGAGTTCACCAAGCTTGAACATTGCAACGCAGTGAACTGCGAAACTTGTTGCACGAGCTTGCGTTTCTACTCTGTCGCATTTGCGTGCATATGAATGAAAGTGGGGAGAAAAGTGCAGTATGACTAGGCTTTCTAGAAACATCCATGCAGGTGTGTTGAGGCAGGTTGGAGCAAAAATTTGCAGGACACTGGCCCCACAAGACTGAATTTGGGCACCCATTACAAAACATTTGCTAATATCTAAAAGAAAAACGTAATTTGCTGTGGTGGGAGAAGCAAATGTGGGCCTTTTTTCTTATATAATAAGAGGCTTGACACACTTTTTGTGAGCTCATATGCTCAAGACAGTTCTGGAGCTAATAAAACTGATCCACTCTGACAACAGACTTTAACAAAATTACAAACAATGCAATTTGGAAACATTGCAAAGGTTGAAAAATGAAAATTAGTTACAATGCACACCTATAAGTCTAATACTTGTTTACTTAAAACAAATAGGGTTATAAACTAATTCTTATAGCAATGAGTGTATTGCAGTTATATTATTAAATATTTATGTTAAAAAACGTATCTAATAATTCCAGCCAGCTTTTAGTGAATTTGTAATATTTTCAAATCACAGAACTTTCAGTTGTTATATGTAAAAAAAAAAAAGCCTACATACATGCAGGACCATTCCAATATTTTGCTTGTCTCCAACTATTGACAGCAGATCTCTCAATGAGAGAGAGGAATTTGCACTCTTTACTGCTCCATTCATTTAACCTATCAAATGTAATGTAATTTAGACCATCACTGTGCCTCTTGAGATCTCTTCTCACCGCCATGATTTCCGGGTATTTTAACTCATTTTGGGGGATCACGGAACCGGTACGAATGAATATGCAGAAGACATCCAGAGTTGCTGGAAGAGGTCATAATTAGACACTAGATAGAGGAGATAGTTCCGCTCACATCACAGCATTGGATGTGTGCAACGTATCTGAAGAGCGGGGAGGCATGCAGGACGTATTTAAGGACCGGACGGGAGGCGCGTGATTTCCGGGAGATTATCATTCGTTTCCGGGCATCCGAGAGTCTCTATGCATTTGCGGGAGATTCTTGGAATTTTCGAGAGACTTGGGATGTCTGTATCTGTATATATTTTAGCTGCAGTGAAGCGAGTGCAGAACAGAAATGACATGCTGTTGTTTAAATAAGATATTACATACGGCTATTTAGCTTGTTTATAAAAAAAAAGTTGTGATCTGGCGCTATATAGATAATACAATTATTGTGACTTCAAGGGGGGCGGGTACAGCCGTTGTGTAATTGAGCTAATTGTGTAGACCTATTCAAAACACAAGTTTGTAACCACGATGACACAAACCGGATCAGGGGTAGTATCAACTTGTGCAAAGTGCAGTGCTAACCTTGCTTCTACCCTTCTTTTACCCAAGGTTAAAAGCTATACCCAGTACTGTGAAAACTATAAAAACATTAACATTTTCTGAAGGGAACTTACTTCCTGCGGCGTGCTTCCTTCATTTCCTTCAGCTCTCTCTTCTGCTTCAGGACGTCTCTGGGCAGGTGGCGATGGCGGGCAATGCGTCTCACCTGTGGATGGTGCTGGAATTTCTGTATCAGCTTTTTGTTGTAGTTTGCGGCAGTCTTTTCTCGGGTAGAAAGCTGTGAAGAATGAGACTTGTGTCAGTGGTTGAGTTCTTCATATGCAGGTAGGGAAATTCCAGAAATAACACTTCTAAAGGAGCTGCTGGGCTGGAATTGAACCAGATTTTGTCAAAAACCCAAATACAAAAATAAAAATTAATTTTAAAAAATAATCTAAAACACATAGCTATGTGTAATAACAAAGGAATGACAAAGAGAAAGCACTAAACTACTGAATCATTTAATACCTTATGAAAAGGGCTTTTTTGCTGATGGCAGCTTAAAGATGCCGCTCATTTGGAGAATGAAGTCACATGTATACCTCAGGTGTGTTTTTCCACACACTTTAACAGAGTGTCAAAATCTTGATGGTTCTGTGGGTCTCGTCTATTAAATCTGAGCTTTATTTTGTATTCTCTAATGGATTCAGGTCAGGTGATTGACTGGGCCATTCCACAGCTTGATTTTCTTTCTCTGAAAGCATTTGAGAATTTCCTTAGCTGTGTTTTGAACCACTGTCCTGCTGAAATATCCACCCTGGTTTATTCTTCATCCTCTTGCTAATGTAGATGCTAGACTGAAGCAGCTCATATTTATTTACACCGATGAAGGGCAGAGGGTTGCTGAAGAACTACCGAGTGATTTTAGCTGGTGTCTGAGCTTTTACTGCCTTTCTACACCTTCCCTTCTTCATGTGTTCAATACCTTTTCACTGTGTCGTTTCATTACACATAACTTATAAAATAATTATTTTGCACATATGCATTTCTTTGTTTGCTACCAACATCAGGGGAAAACGTCAAGCCAACAGCACCTTTAGAAATATGTTTTCTCAAAAAATAATGACGTGTTCAATACTTCTTTCCCCTGCTGTATATTTACCAAGTGCAACAATACAAAACACTTCACTTCACGTCAGTTCAACCTGCTTTCAAACTGTATTATTGTAGTCATTCCTTAGCAGAACTTTGAGTAACACAATAGAAGAGGCACACACATGCAAGATCTTGATAAGAGGGTATTAATTTGGCAATGCACATAAAACAGCAGATTTGTCAGTAGGAGAAACGCAGCTACGTGTTTATCTATCTCTCGATCATAAAATTTCTATGGCTCCTAAGCTTCGGCACGTCTCACTCCGCACCCCTTCGAGAGCTTTTATTCTAATTAAAAGCAATGATTTTCTCAAATTCAATTTGTATAGGGCAATCTAATAGCTGCTGATGCCATCAGAGAGCTCCGGAGGAAAGTCGGAAAGGCCTGTTAACTCTTATTTACGAATTTCTTGACAGCGTCACATAAGGGGGAAAAATGAACATGACTCTGCAGTTTCCTTGGAGACATCTCATAACAGAGCTGTTGGCGTGTTTGTAGTCCTTAAAGCCAGAAGAGACTAAGCATTACAGACATTTTTAATTTATTAGCACATTACTTTGAGAAATATTCTAACTTTGTCCTACAAGATACAGATGTATAGTAAACAATCAAACTTTTTAACTTGAATTTTAAATTCGTTTTGCTTCTAAAATTGTCAAGTCACAACATCGAAACTACATTTCCCATAACGAAGAACAGATACTTTTCTTAAAGTTACTTTTATTTTAAAAATAACCAGTTGTTAAGGTTACCAAAAATATCCAAAACATTGTTAATTGAAACAAAGCTGGATAAGAACAAAATCAATAGTAACACACTTTATTTTGATGGTCCCTATTGTACATTTTGTTGACTAAAAATTGCATTGCAACTACATGCCAATTTACTTCTCATTTGAGTATCAGTAGACTGGCGTACTCACACTATGCTATCCGAACCGTGCCCAGGCCCGTTTTTCGGATCGTTTGAGAAGTGTGAGTGCACTGAATCGGACTCAGGCACGGTTCACTTGGCCGGCCCTGACCCGGTTGGAAGAGGTGGGCCTGAGCGTGGTTCACTTGGGCTTGGCTTGGGCGAAACTGAAAGCGAGACGTGACTTTTAAAGGACTGTTTCATATGGATTTATTAATCAATCTTACTGTTTAAAGAACTCTCACTGCACAACAGCTGCGCACCTTCAGCAAACCGCCTTAATCCTGCAGCACAAGGGCTTTATGAGTGTTAATGAGCGCCAAAAGTGGCGGATATGTTCAGCAAAATATCTGACTGCGTGTCACCGCATCCCTAAGGATTGTTTGGCGAAATATTTGACTGCATATCGAACGACTTAAACGATATAACTAGAGAAATATCCACTGTGCTGAGCGGGAGCACTTACTGAACAGCGCAGCATCGATGATGTAAGTGTGCCCAGGCCCGATTTTAATGTGAGTGTGGGCCGTCGGGGGAGACGGGAGGGGGGAAAAGCGTGCTTTGGCCTGCTTCGAGGCAACTGTACATAGTGTGAGTACGGCCTAATATCTGCTGACACTGCTCCTTCAACAGACATTTAACTGACTAAAAGCAATTCTGCAAGTACATGTCAACTTACACTATCCCCAACCTAACAGTCTACTTACAATCTAATATATTCAATTCAATTCAGATTTATTTGTATAGCGCTTTTACAATGTAGATTGTGTCAAAGCAGCTTCACATAAATGGTCATAGTAACTGGAACAGTGTGGTTCAGGTTTTAGTGTTTAAGTTCAGTTCAGTTCAGTTTAGCTCAGTTCAGTGTGATTTAATCATTACTGAGAGTTCAAACACTGAAGAGCCAATTCATCGATGCGTAGCTCTACCAATCCTGAACCATGCGAGGCAGTGGCGACAGCGGAGAGGGAAAAAAAAACTTCACCTGATGGGAGTGAAGAAAAAAACCTTGAGGGAACCAGACTCAGTTGGGCACGACCATTTTAATTTCTCCGCTGGCCAAAAGTCTTGTGCAGAGCTTCATTCGCCGTGATTTAGGCAGGAAGAATTAGAATTAGTTGGCATGAAGATGCAATGTAACTTAAATTCAACAAAATGCCATAAAGTGATACCAAATATTTTATGAAAAACTTTAAATGACTTTGATATGCTGCATGAAATATAAATAAGTAAAACCATAAAAAAGTAAACTTCAGAAATATGCAAAAATTAGCAAATTACATAAATTAAAATAAGTATATTATTAGTCATCAAAATGAAAGCAAACAGCAAACATAAAAGATAACTCAAAATATTAATAAAAACTTTAATAAAATAAAAACATTTCTAAAATAACATTAAGAATTTAGGGGGTGAAATTCATTTCATTTTCATCATATAACAACCAATTTTGGCAAGATTTTACAATAACTTTCATTAAATCGAGTTAAGTACATTAGTTAAAATAACGAAAACTACCTAGTATTTAAATCTTAGTTAACTTTTACGTAATAATTAATTAGCTAATTACTGTAAAAATATATTGATAGTTGGCTGGCAGACATTTTAATCTGAAGTATATTAAAGTTAATGATTTTACATGGATAAAACGATGCCTGAAATGAAAATCTTTAAGTTTAATTCATTCATTCGGCTTAGTCCCTTTACTCATCAGGGGTTGCCACAGTGGAATGAACCACCAACTATTCTAGGATATGTTTTACAAAGCGGAAGCCCTTTCAGCTGCAACGCAGAAATGGGAAAAATTCATACACACACTCATACACTACTGCCAATTTAGTTTACTCAATTCACCTACAGCGCATGTCTTTGGACTGTGAGGGAAACCCACACAAACACAGGGAGAACATGCAAACTCCACACAAAAATGCAAACTGACCCAGCAGGGACTTGAACCAGCAACCAGCTAACCACTGAGCCACAGTGTTGTTGACCAAGTTTAATTATTGAGAAAAATAATTATGGAAAACAGTCTATGAAAAATAGATGTTATAAGCGAGGGAGAAATGAAAAGCTAGATTTAAACAACAGACGTAAATGTGTTTATGCACAATTATCTGATACTGTAACTGTAAAACATTCAATTTAAAAAAATCCCAGAAATACGGAATTTTCATATTAATATAGTTGCTTTTTTAAGTGACTTAATTATATGGCAACGAAAAACAAAAAGAGCCTCCGGCCTGGTCTGAAGAGCTTCTGAAGACAGCAGAAGACTCTTGATTAAGCATCTGCTCCTTTAATTAAATACTCTCATGTGCCTGATAGTTTAATGACTTCATTATTTTTCCCCATTTTAAGTGATTGGCTGATTCAAACTGCTGATAACTGCATTGAGTGTCTGATCTATTTAAGTGAAAAGCATCTGAATAAATCTCTCCCTTAAGTCCAGCGGAAGCCAAAAACTTGCCAAGACTGGACCGCAAGAGGGTTTCAGATGGACCTGAGCCGGGAGATGAAACTACCATTGACCTGGAATGCAACCAACCTCCGCCTCAGCAGAACAAAAGCTGTGCTTCCACCTGTATTCATGAGGGGAGTTTACTTGAAGTGACCAATTTTGACAGTTTTACAACAATGAGTTCATTTAAACACTTCAATTAATTTCATTTATTCACTGCCAAAATGCTTTTCTTACTTAAGTGAAAAGCTCTTGTCTTGTTTTTAGTTTAAGCAATTCTGAGTGTTCCTCTCACAGGTGAGTGGACTTGACAAACCAGCTGAACAAATCACTCTTTCATCTCTGACACTTCAACCAGCACTTTTAGACTAGTTTTGCACAAGACACGTTCTTACAATCACTCCATGTGAAGAGTTTTGATGCAAAAACCTCTAAATGCTAATATTTTCTTCATTTTTCACTGAAACCTGTGTAGGCTCAGTAATTTTACTTTTTTAATGATGAAGTTTTTTTCCTTGCCTTTAAAGGAAAATAGCTGAACATAAACAGGAGGCTGAGATAAATGCAAATTTTAGGAGAACATTTTAGACCATCTTTAGAGGTTATCAACTGAACTCTTTTTATGAAGAGACACAGAAAGCGGCCACATAGAGAGACACTTCAGCGCTGGTGAAGATTGTGGGTGTTTACAGCGGTTTGACAGATAAATATTAAATTTGTAGCTAAATTGTTAGCGGTGCCAAACAGCATTTCCCGTTGATCACATCCTTGTTTAAGTTCCTTCTACAACATACCGTTAACGCTAGAAACTGTGAGTGTAGTTGATTAATTTTAACAAATTAAAACACTGACAGGTTGTGGCTCATAACCCATAAATTCATCGGTTTGTAGGAGTTTTTAGCCGAATCCATCATTGAACTGAGAGAGATTCGGGAAGTTCTCATTTGTCAAAAAAATCTTTTTTTTAATTCACTGGAACATAATTAAAACTAAACTGTAAGCACTTCTCTCTGTGTCGTGTCTTTTGGAAGCCCAAATACAGAAACAGCACAAAATGTGGAAATAGCAGCATTTGGACGCCCTATTCGCTTTCTCTGCTGTAACATTACAGCGCCTCTGGCCACGCCTTGTTGCTGTGCGGAGTGTGTGCGAGGTGAATGTGTGAAACCTGAAGTGTTTATGATCTCATTACCTCTGGTGTATTTTTTGTAGTCCCCAAATTCGTTTGCTGTAGACTTTGCTAAGCTAACTGTGTAAAAGCCAATGTCTCCCTTTGCATTGAACTTTGAGCATATGACATTCAGAGATGTTGCTTATGTTCAAACAGCTACATTATACATCAACTAAAGTTTAAAATATGATATCATAGTGGACCACCCCTTTAAAAAACAAAATAAAAAATAAAAAAAACATTTACGAGCTTTCCACAGGTGAGTGGGCTTAAGCTCTCTCTTCTCTCTCTTAATTCTCTAGCTCTTAATTCTATGAGCATTAACAGTTTGTTTGTATAAGCCCTTCAACACAACAAACAATGTGAATGTAGTTCAAACATCTAAACATTCTTAAAATCAAGAATAATTTTCTAGAAAAGTAAAATTATATTGCTTTGTTTTCAGAAATGAGTCAAAGCCAAGTGAGCTTTTCTTTAAAACAAGAAAAACTATTTGCCAATAGGGAAAGCAAAGCAAAAACAGGAACTTTTTGCACACCCCATTGGCAGGTTATATTTCTAACTATTTTTCTTCCCCTTCCAATAAATTTTTTGAGTGGCCAGTTCCACATTTAGTATGCACAACTTGTTCAATATTCAAAATTATTATTACTTCTTTCATTTACAAATGGGTTCATTTATTAATTCATTAATTTTCCTTCAGCTTAGCCTCTTATCCATCAGGAGTCACCACAATGGACTGAACAGCCAACTATTAAGCATGTGTTTAACGCAGCGGATGCCCTTTCAGTTGCAACCCAGTACTGGGAAACACCCATATACTCTCACATTCAAACACACTCATCCACTACAGCCAATTTTGTTTATGCAATTCACTTAAAGCACAGTCATGTGCATAGCCGAGAATCGAATCAGCAACCTTCTTGCTGTGAGGTCAGTGCTAATGACTGAGCCACCGTGCCACCCCAAACGGATTCACTTTGTACAATTTGTTGTTGAAGGCAAACTTAATCTGTACTAGCAAGGTGTATGTAATGAAGTAGGCAGTGTATACAGTTGCAAGAAACATTCAATGTCAAATATCATACTTTTTTTTTTTTTAAATAATCAGCACTATATTTTTTGACAGAGCCTTTTTTTATCCTTATGAGAACTATAAAAGTTTCTCAATCTTTAAATGAACATCAATGGACATGTTCAGATTTTCTTGTAAGCAAACTTCACTTTATGAAATAGGTGTAGGCACTTTAGGGCACTCCATTACAAGAGTTGCTTTGACAAGAGACATAAAACTCCAGAGCCTTTTCTCTCTCTCTCTCTCTCCTGGCTTGTTTTCAGACCATAGCAACACTGCCATAGAAATGCTTAATGAAAGTGATTTGTGAGTGTAATTCATTTTAAGTGCTTGGTGGGGTAACCACTGGGCCAAATGCAACCCATATTAACCACCCGAGTGCATTAGCAACAAGTTAAGACCCTTAAAAAGCTGTACAATTAGGTATGAAAGTTGGAGTTTAAAATCCGTCAGTAAAATGTGATCTTGTGCTCACCACTCCGAGCTTCTCCGAGGCGTTGGCCTTCCACAGGCGAATGTTCATCTCGTCTGAGCCGCTCATGATGAATTTGCTGTCAGCCGACCATTTCACACAGATGACGTGCTGCATACGTTTGGTGTGGTACACCTCCCTGATGATTGTGCAAAATGACATTTAAAGCAAAAACTTTTTTCAATATAAACTTTTTACTTATGCATATTTTTATAATACACTTGTTTTCAGAAACGTAAAATGTAACACCCCGAAACACCAATTAATTTACCTAAAATATAATGCATATTTAATACAATCGCCTTATCTATTAGATTTTAGGAACGGGTCAAAATAAATAAATAAATTTGTTACAGTGAATGACAAGACATCATTTACCATTATTTATTGTTTATTATTTATTAAAGTATTTTGAAAATTTATTTAAAAAAGCTGACACTTGCCTTTGATATAATTTATTTATACTGGAATACACTACACTAAAGTCTTGTCACCCATCCAGGTTTTATAAAAAAAAATAATAACTTGACTTCTAGTTGATCATTTTGTATCAGTGGCTTATATGAAAAGCAAAGGCCTCTATATTACATTTATTTTACCAAAATAAAATATTCTCATGCCTTAATTTTTAATTATTTAATTAGGACAGTAAGGTCTGACTTTGCTTGGACAAAACTCTTGTCACTTAACAGAAATAATGTCCAGTATAGAACATAAACATGCTGCAGAGGAAAAAGAATGAATATCGTGTCTGACTCCCATGAGCTTGGAGGACTGCATCCATACATCTCTGACTCAATGACTCAAATAACTTATTAATAAATTCATCTGGAATGGCAAAGAAAGTGATCTTGCAGGGCTCCCAGAGTTCATCAAGATTCTTTGGATTCTCCTCCTCCATACTACCGCATACATGCTCTGGTGGCCGTGCTGGCCAATCCTGCAGCACTTTTCATCTTTGCTTTCAGGAACTTTGATGTGGAGGCTGAAGTATGAGAAGGGGCGCTATCCTGCTGAAAAAATTACCTTCTCCTGTGGTTTGTAATGTAATGGGCAGCAAAAATGTCTTGATACCTCAGGCTGCTGATGCTGCCATCCACTCTGCAGATCTCTCGCACGCCCCCATACTGAATGTAACCTTAAACCATGATTTTTTCCTTCACCAAACTTGACTGATTTCCTTCAGAATTTTGGGTCCATGCAGGTTCCAATAGGTCTTCTGCAGTATTTGTGATGATTGGGATGCAGTTCAACAGATGATTCATGAGAAAATCTACCTTCTACCACTTTTCCAACAAATCAACTAGAAGTCAAGTTATTATTTGTTGCTTTTACAACTGGGATCGACGACAAGACTTTTGTCTTATCTCAAAATCAAAACCACCCCTAAATCTTAACAACAGTAGTTGCTATAAAAAATTTTTTATACACTTATTTATTTAAATATACATCATAAATAAACTTCAGGCTTTAAAAGTGTAAAATGTGGCCTCTGTAATAAAATTCAAATCTAATGCTCTTATTGTAATAAGTGACTCATACAGAATGAACCTCATAAACAGTGGACTCCATAAGAAGTTAAAGACAAATAATAACACACCAATCCAGACTTCTAGGAGCAAAAATGGACCAGGATTGAGAATCAGTGGACTTTCACACCTAGACTTTTGATTCGGAACCCGTCTAGTTTGCCCAATTAGCGTGGTTCGTTTGACATATGTGAAACCACCAATCCCGCTGGGATCTGTGCCAAAACAATTGCTCTGAGATTACTTAATTGAGGGGGTATCAGCTCGATTGAAATGAACTCTGGAGCGGATCGATTGTAGTGAGAAAGCGATATGATCCGAGCCCGGTTATATCACAGTGTATTATGGATATGTAATAGGCATACGGCTATATGAAGAGAGAATTATGAGCATGAAGTCTCCCGCAAATGCACAGAGACTACCGGCCGGCTGCCCGCAAATGAGTGATAATCTCCCGGAAATCGCGCGTATCCCTCCCCGTCCTCGCACACCCTTCTCACCCCTCCCCACCGCATCCGTCCTCGCTCCACAGACACCACCAAACCACAACCACCCCCTGACAGCTGAGCGGGACTCTCCAAAATAAACCCTGAAACTGACCAATGTGAGGACAGTTTACTCGCACGTGACTTGTTTTAGCCCTTTTGGTCCATTTAGAAACTTTGCCGTGTGAAAGCGAACCGCACCAAGAACAAAGAGCAACAATTTAACAATTTTAATCCTTGTTTCGGAACAACTGAATTGATTCACAGGTGTGAAAGCACCCATAGACATCCATTAGACTTTATTTAAACAAAAAAAATGCTTGCTGGTGACTTTTAGCAGCACACTCACCTGCTGTGGCCTTTGTCTTTAGGAAAGATGCGGACGGTTTTGTCAAAGCTGGCGGATACAAACTCTCTCCCTGTAGGTGAATAATCCACATCCAGCACAGCGGATACATGATCCATGTGGACAGTCACAGGAACATCCAGATTCCTTATGTCATATGTATAAAGGCTGTGCAAGAAACACAAAAAGGAAACATGATTTATTTACAGTCATTTTTCATGTAAAACTTTAGGCTAAAATGAACTCACTTGTAGTCTTCGTTTGCGCAGGTAAAATAATATGCTTCCATTGGGTTCCAGCAAAGCGTATTGCTTCTCAGCTGCATGATAACCTGAAACACAATTCAATTTATTTATAGTGTGCACTGGTGCTTGTCCCCCTTTTTTAACAGTGCAGGTTCTTAAAAATTTTCCTTATTTGTTTTTCCCATGAGGATATTTAAAAAAAAAAAAAAACTGACTTGAAGCAAACAGGGATTCTGCATGTTTCACCAAGTCAAATTTAAGACCTTTTTAAGAACATTATAAATTAAATACCAAGATAAGGATTTTTTTTCTAATAGCCTGGTTGGGACAGTGGTAAAGATTGTTTACTTGCCTCATCAAAAAGTTCATATTAGTTATTTGTTAGTCAAATATTTTAAATCATGTGTCAAAACAAGCAGACCATAGTTGTATACATACATTTTCAACATAACTTTATAAAAAAATGATATGCTTTAAAATGTATAATAAACTAAATGTATTAAAGGGCCATGAAACCCCCTCGTTTCAGCAGGGTGTTTTCACACCTCCACTTTGGAAAAAGTCAGAAAAGTAGGCGTGTCCAGCTCTGTTTAGGGGGGAGTGTCGGAGGAACTAAAGTGGGATGGTGTGGGAGTGTCTATTTGTGCACGCGCGAGTTTCAGAGTCAAAATACACACCCACAGCGGACAATGTGACTGTGTTTACATGGACATCTGTAGTCGAATTATTTGCCAAATTATTAAAAGTTGGACTTTAACTGTAGTTTGGCTCTTTCATTCAGGGAATTCATTCATGCCTCTCGCGACAAACGAGATATTTGATTCAAGGAACTGCTGCAAGCGTGTATTTTTCATGCAATGTTTGATACCGCACGGCGAATGAGAGAGAAAAAAACTCCGCATTTCCCGGAAACTTAGATGCACATGGCAGGTAGCATCAGAAAGCCGCGTGTGTTATTCCGGTCACAAAATGCGGTGCTAACATTTCTGCACTCAGTGCAATAGTAACTTAATTCGATACGAACAAACTGAATAAACAAAGAGCACTGGTCGCTCACTTACCAAATCTGTAGAGACAGGACAATCACCAGCAACTAGAGCCGCGTCTTTATGGAGAGAATACTACAAGCGAATTCAGATTTCAGCGTTTGCAGATGAGAACAGCTCTCAGGTAAACAATAATCCTCAGACACGTAAGTTATTGTTGTCGAGCGTCGCGTACACTGTTAATCCACACGTGAGACTGAGCTCTCACAGAGAGAAAATGAAAACGAAACTTAACGGCAGCAAACTATAAAAGCAATACTTCACGCTTGTTTTGCCAACACAACGTGGCGTCTTTGTGGCGTAAACACGGTGACACTAATGAATATTAATGAAGTTCCACAATAGAGCGCGCTGATTGGTTTGAACCAAGCCTTACTCATGCATTAATGTATCACACTGTAAGACGTAATAAGACTCACTCTGGCACAGACGCCCAGTCTGCACGCTGGAATACACGCTATTATGTCATGGCCGTGACGCAGCTTCAAAAATTCGTTTCAAACAGGAAGTACGAATTTGCTTGAAATAACGCAAAAACAACCAATTTACACTTTTTAGTGAAATATAGGTGTCCTAATAGTGTTTTTAGCAGTGTAGGACACATATACGACTGTCAACAGCTCAAAAAATGTGTTTTGGTGTTTCGTGACCCTTTAACAAGTCTTCTCAGGTCAGTGTCCTGGATGTGTGTTGGCCTGACTGGATAGCTGTACACGGACATCCGATAATTAAGACATTGTTTAAAATGATTTTAGACCTACAAGACAATAAGTCATCCTGTAATATTTCATTTTTGATATTTAAAATATTAAGACTTTAAGACCTGGCGGACACCCTAAGTAAAGTTGTACATAAAAACAAACAAAATGAAAATGGTACAAGACTATGTATGCCACAACATTTATCAGGTAAATCAATCCCATGAGCGTTGTGAATGTCACAATCAAACTACAAATAAACTATTCGTTTAAATTGCTTATTATACCTACAAAAACAATGTAGTTTAAGCTCGCTCAAAAAAAGGTATATAGATCTATCTATCTATATATAAATGTATTATGAGATCACTGGAAGACTGACTTGAAAAGAGCTCAAGATCTCTTCTGAAGCAATTTGCTTCAAAATCAGTTTTTGTTTTTCAAAAATAAAGTGTAAACAGCATTGTGGGTAAGCTTTTTACTGCAAGTTTTACTGCACTAATGTGACTATTAAACAGCTGTTTACAGTTTAATTATATTTATCAAAGCATTTTGTATTAACAATGTTAGACCTTACTGACTGGCTTATTTCCCTTTGGAAAAAAATAATAATTTTTTTACTTCCAGAACCTTTATTGTCATAGAGGTTACCATTCAGCCATGATGTAGGTGAAAGATAGAAATATGGGTGTAAACAAAAAAATTCCTGACCTTTCTGAGTGGTGCAGATTCTCTGGTGTCATACAACACAATACTTCTGTCTGATGCACAGCTGGCGAGAAGGTCAGTCTGCAAAAGACAACAGGACATTTTGCATGTGAAATCTAAAGAAAGTAATTGAAAATCTATTATTCACATAAACCACGTGGATAGTAAAAAAAAAAAAAACTCTTTCACTTGAAATAAAGCAATGCTTAAAAGGGTAGTTCACCCAAAAATAAATTGTCATCATACTTGTTACTCATTCTTATTCCAATCTTGAGTTTCATTCTTCTGATGTAGAGAAAGAAAGATACATTGAAGAATCATGGAAAGCGCAAGCCATTGATTTAGTAGTTTTATTTAATGCCATGTAAATTAAATTAAATTTTATGAAGAATGTTCCTAATATGGATGCTAATGGCTTCTTGTTTCCAACATTCTTTAAAACAGGGGTCTCAAACTGCCGAACCATGGGCCATTTGCGCCCCACCTTCTCCTCCATCCGGCCTGTAACTGATGTCAAAAATATAAGGAGATTCGGCCAACAAAACATATATTTTTGAGCCACTACTATTGCTGTATAGTCGCATATAGCCCTTGTGGTTTTTGAACCCCCAACAACTGGAGATTAAAAGTACTGTACTATATATCCGGGTTAATTTCAGTTTCCCTCAGTGTGCAGTCAAAATAACGCACATGCAGATATTTCTGTGGCTGATTTAAACATTTAAATATATGTCCGTAAGTGCTCTATTTTTTACAAAAGCTCTATTTTTGTAAATATTTAAGGGTCATTTGATTATAATCAGTTTTATACCAACTGTATTTTGTTGTACAAATACCTCTTCATGGCTTACACATTATGATGGTGGTGTAAATATGATCATTTTGCTAATATTTAATTCAAATAGTCTCATTTAATAGATTTGCGTGTGCATATTAAGATTTGTATAAAAATGTGCATTAGTAAAGTTTTACTGCTGGCTGCATTTAACATGTTAAAGTAACAGTGAATGTATATACACACAAAGTATATATATACTTTGATACTCTGGGGAAAAATGTCTGAGTGCATCAATTACATCAGTTTTCCACTTTTTCTTGTGCTTGAATGTTAAAATGGCCCTCCTATGAATTGTCAGTCACTGATATTGCCCCCCGCCAATTTGAGTTTGAGACCACTGCTTTGAAATAAAAAAAACTTTAAACAGAACCCCAAAGTTTTGAAAAACAATTGTGGGTGGGTAAATGGTTAGTATATAGTCATTTTTTGGAATGAACTACCCTTTTAAATAACTGAATTAGTTGGTGACCTCCACAGGGTTGTAGCGAACGCTGCTGAAACTGTCCACACCCCAGCTGAAGGACAAGACGGGGCTGCTTCTCTGTTCATCCCAGATATCCACCGTCTGCCCGCAGGTAACGAACGTGCCCTCCCTTTGGTGGTGGTCAATGCCAGTGAACACCGCCTGCAAGATACATCAGTCCTGTTAGATGCTCAAAACATGAGCTAAGATTCTTTAACATTAGTGCATTTCAATAAATACGACAAGCACAATTTCTTTTGATTCATTCATTCAAATCCAATCTATTCCAATCCATCCATTCATCCTAATCCCATTCATCCATCCATCCCAATCAGTCCATCCCAATTTCATCCATCCCAATCCCATTCATCCATCAATTCACCCCAATCCAATCTATTAATCCCAATCCAATCAATCCATCAATCACAATCCATCGATCCATCCAATCCATTCTTCATACTCCAAATAATCCATTCATCCATCAAAATCCATCCATCCCCATCCCATTTTTTGTTGATATTTATTTATATTTGATGTAAAATGTATCCTATTTAATTTTACATATAAGCCTTTATTTTAATTTAACTCATGTAGACAATCAACTAAAATATCAGTTTTGTATTAGTTTAGTATAATATAAAACTAATATAATAAACTAAGCTAATACTTATATAATTTAAATATCAGTAACGTCTGTCATTTATATTTTATTCCGCAATATTAAAAACATTGTACATAAATGTATGAATAAGTGTATTATAATATTTAAATAAAATATTAGAATTTATGCAGCTTAATATTTAACAGTCATTTTTAAAAACAATACTTATATTGAGCAAAGACATTAATTTGAACAAAGTGCTATGAAAAGCATTCATAAATGTTAATACCGCTTTTAATTTCAAACTAATTCAAACCTGAAAAAAATGTATAACACTTTTTACACACACACACAAAATAGAAACTTGTATGTAGTATAAATTATTTTGAGCCACAAATCAACACAAAAGAAGGATTTCAGAAGCATCATGTGACACTGAACACCCACAAAGCTTCCATTTTCTAAATACACCAAGACATACACATAAGATTTACCTTCCCCAGAATGGTGTTAATTGGTTCCTCCCGAACTCCATATCCTGGAGCCTCCATGTTCCACTGTTTGATAGTTTTATCATCTCCTACCTGTTGAATGACATCAAGATTCACAGAATCACATAAACCGCACGATCACTTATGAACGGATTGACCTTCTTCTATATAGTAAGTAGGGCTGGGCGATTTGGCCGTAAATCAACATCTTGATTAAATGACCATTTTAACTCAATTACGATTATTTTATTTTTCTGCCTTCAGAGTTCCCTGACAAGTTTTGTACAGCAAATATGGGCACATATTACAAGTCAGAGATTTCTGAGTGAATAGTGCATTACTTGATTTTAAAATAATTGAAGGAATTGGGAAGAAGCCTGCACTAAAGCTCACACTATGTCTATAAATTCACGTCCTAAACTTACACAATATAAATGGATCATGCGGACATATGTAAAACCAGTACAATTAAATAAATATAATAAAAACATACCAGATATTTCTACAAAATGTTTGGAAGCTAAAGGAACCTTGTTTCACTGTATTTGGCAGTGCACAGAAATTAAATTATTTTGGGAAGAGGTGAGAGTCATAAGTGAAAAAAATTATTTCAAAACAAATTCTCCTCGACCCAAAGCTTTTTTTTGCTAGGTTTATACCCAGAGGACTCAAACTATAATAGAAGTGAAGAAATATTTATAGACCTCGGCTTGCTTTATGCCAAAAGATGTGTAGCTTTGCTATAGACAAAGATGCAAAGACCAAACGCTACTCAATGGATAAGACAAATGTTGTCAAGTCTGCTATTGGAAAAAAAATAACATATATATACTAAAAGCTAAACAACATGTATTTAAAAACATATGGAGTCCTTTCATTAGTTATATCAAAGAAGTGGAATTAACAGAGGAAGAAGTTGATGGATAATTTTTGATGGATAATGCAGCTCCAGGTTTATAGTTTTGTATTGATACATTGTTTATATACATATTTGCTGTATCTAGTACTCAGTATAATTATAATTGTCATGTTTGAATAGATTACAATTAATGACTAAAAGAGGAGCGGTTTTATTTATATTTTTTTATTTTTTGTTTTTGTTGTTTGTTTGTTCGTTTGTTTGTTGTTTGCTTTTAGTTTCTATTATAAATATATATATTCTCATATTTTGTATAATTTTTTAAATGCAACAAGGTTATTATTGTTGTAAAATGTTTGTAAAATGTTGTGTTTCAATGTGTACAATCTGAAACCAAAAAATAAAAATATTATGGAAAAAAATAATAATTATTGAAGGAAACAAACACTATCTATGATTATTTATGGAACATCAGCCTTGAACAACTGAAATTAAGACACACATTGCTTAAAACGGAGTAATTCTTTTCTTATAAAAAAGTGAAAATAAATAACTTGCACTTTTAAGAGCAAAATTAATTATTTTCAATGTTTTTTCATATTAAAAGTAGAAAATAAGCAGTATCGCTTTTAAATCAAATAGCTGTATATCCTGTAAATAACATTTTAAACTGTGCATTTGTTGCATCTTCTGTAAACAAATATTTTAATGGAAATAATAATTTTAATGTAATGAAAAATATGCCGTCTCAATGCATCTCTGGCGCAGCTTCCAATCATTGTCAATGAAGTGCAAATTAAGGCTCAAGAATAGGCCCATTGTCCTACCTGACCAGAGATCAGATGTGGCTGCAGAAGTATAAAGCGGGGTCACATGACTCCACACGCGGTAGAGAAAGTAGTTGGGGAAAAAAAGCGACCAGGAAAAATTCTAATTCGAAATTTGTTTCCGAATGTCGATTTCGATTACTTTTTGATTGAATCGCCCAGCCCTAATAGTAAGACCCCTGGAATACGCCATAATAAAATACCGTGAAAAACGAGGTGCCACAGAAGCGGGAGCAGATTCCTCGCACAAATCCTTCGTGAGCCTGAACCGTCCTCGTACACTCTCGCTTGGGAAGATTCCAAACTTTCACCTATGACAACAAAAACAAACTCACGTCATTCCTGTACAATTAAATAAATGTATACCTAATATCCATGATCAGATTTAATTGCAATAATCATATTTCAGGCAATTTGTATAGCGCTCTTCACAATAATTGTTTCAAAGCATCTTTACAAACGGTGCACATTATTGCATTACTATTAATATCAGAAAAAGTTAAGGTCATTAGATACCATAACTTCATTAGTTATTAATAACTAGTAACTAATAGCTTTTAACAGTTAAAGTTATCATATACAGATAAACAGTTCACCTGCAGTTATATACACATAGGTGATGTCCATGTGTACATGTTTAATGAGGTGTATTTGTGTATATCTCATTTATTTATATTTAATGCTAAAACAGCGACAGCTTCTATTGTCATGGCAAAAAAACTACATTTAATTTAAATAAAAATAATAATAAATAATAAATTATATTGCTTTAAATTGTGTATCCATCAAAAAACTGAGAAATGCATAAAATTGTATACACATATTTAAAAGAGAAAAGTATTTGAACTATTTAAAAATGATTAACATCATTAATAACTGATCAACAACTGATAAACAAATTGATTAAACCGCATAATACAGCTCCTAAAAATTGAGGTAAAGTTGGTTTTATATTCACACACTCACTTAATAATGCAATTTCAGAAAAGTATTCTTTGCAAATTCTACATAGTGAAATCATATCAGCAGCCAGAGCTTATCAAACCACAACATAGTTTACAGTCAAATAAATAGTGGCACTGTTGTTTTCAAGTCATACTTGTATGTGGTTTCAGACCAAATATTTAAAGTACCATGGTAAACATTATAGGGAACATGTCACAAGTTGTTACTAAATAAATGTACAAAAAAATACTTTACCTTAATCTAACATACATTAAAATGGTAACAGCTTTAAAGTAATGTTATTAAGTTACCTCGCCATCGCAGGCGCCAGATATGACTGTGGACAGGCTTTTGGCGTGTTTGCTAATGCAGCTGATGCCATCTCTGTGCCCGTCGAGCGAGGCCACAAAAGGTTTGGCAAACACCCTCTCCAGTTTGGTGGCATTCAGGGCTCTGGTATATTCTCTGGGCACCTCAAAAGGGTGCAGGGTCGGGTCATAGTTCCTGGGTACTACATAAGGAACATAAGTTACTGCAGTTAATGTACATCTTACCTGTAGACCACCTTCATACGGTCGATGCTTGTTTACATACCTCGCTGTATATCTCTGGTTGTCTCTCGAACATAATCGTCCGGGTTTCTGCAAAGCACTTTAACTTTCATTCCAGCGGGTTATAAACAGCAAAATCATACATAAAAATCTTGTTTAGATATATGTTGCCTTTGAGAAAACGCAAGACCATGTGTTTGTATGACGGACCGCGCACTAATTTGACGTCACTTTAGCAGAAACACATCCGGGTTCTGTAATCGCAGAATTAGAATTGGGAAGAATGGCAAGCAGCTTTTGTTAACATTTCCCCCTACTATACATATGTATAAAAAAACTATAGGTTTATACTAAATTTTGTTACATTATCTGCCAATTGTAAAATATATATATATATATATATATATATATATATATATATATATATAAAGGAGCAGAAAAAAAAGAAATGTTGTATCTAATACTTTTCACTCAAAAATGCTTCTGGATTACATTTTTTTTATACATTAAAGGGCACCTATGATGAAAATGATCTGAACTGTGTATGTATAGTGTGTCCACATTGGAGTAATATAAAGACAATACATCTCTTTTTTAGAATTTCCTTACATTAAAATAGGACCCAAACCCCTCCCATTTTGAGGCCCACCGCAACGTGATGTAGGAGTGCGGTTTCCCCGCCCACAAATTGATTGACAGCTGTGTGTTGACATGTATCCGTACGCAAAGCATCTGGGATTAAAAGATCTGTTTCATCAATCGTCCCTAAATGTGATCAAGACTGAGTTTCACAAGTTTAAAATGTTTTTAAAACAGTGCATGTTTGTAACGAATTACAGCGATTTTACCATCTTCATCACCACAGCCACATGTCAGTACAATTATAAAAGAAGACGCTTTAATCCCGGTTTGTGGACGTTAAATCAGGTTTATTTTATATAAATACAGCACTGACATCCATACAGCAGTGGATATTAACATGCACACGTCCACATTTGCCTTGAAAAACAGTGGAAAGTTTAACACGCACGCGCTGTGTGTGTGTGTGTGTGTGTGTGTGTGTGTGTAACAACATTGTGTGACACTCATCGTTCCAGAAAGGTTTGAATTAGCTCCACAACAAATACATCAAATAATCATTGGAAAAGTTCTTACTGTAGTATTTCTCACAAACATTATGTGAGATCTACTTTCTTCATGTCAGTCACTGTGCTGTTTATCTGATGAGGCCGAGCCAGAGATTGAGTTTAAATTACAGCATTCTGAAAGGTATAAGGAATAATCTGATGGGTGTTTTAAGCTAAAACTTTACAGACACATTCTGAAGACACAAAAGACTAATCCTAAATCTTGTAAAAGGGATGAAATACATGCCCTAAAATAAATTTTATGTAACTTTATAACTTAAATAAGAATGACTATTTATTATTAGTTGTACACTGTTATTTTCTAGTTTTCAAGTTCACGAAATATTCACCACGCTCTCTAAAAATATGAAAAATCAAACATTAAAAACTTTCAAAAAATCATTAAATTGTTGATGTTTCTCAAATCCTTAATTTATGTTTTTTCCTCAATGTTTTTATTGGGTTCTATACAATTATATTAAAATTACATTTTTAAAAAATTGTATTAATTAACTTTGAGATGGGGCGACACGGTGGCTCAGTGGTTAGCTTTGTCGCCTCACAGCAAGAAAGTCGCTGGTTCAAAGACATGGGCTAAAGGTGAATTAAATAAACTGGCTGTGGTGTGTGTGTGTGTGTGTGTGTGTGTGTGTGTGTGTGTGTGTGTGTGTGTGTGAGTGTGTATGGATGTTTCCCAGTACTGGGTTGCAGCTGAAATGGCAGCCGCTGAGTAAAACATATGCTGGATAAGTTGGCGGTTCATTTCTGCTGTGGCGACCCCTGGTTAATAAAGGGACTAAGCCGGAAAAAAAATGAATGAATGAACTTGGAGATAAGTTGAAGCAATTAAAAAAATATATTAAATTAAATAAGAGACATTTTGTAAACACAAATCTGAATACTTCAAGAAAACAGAGTTTGTGCCTTTAAATGAGATGGATTCTTATGTAAAAGCCCTTAAGATAATGAGAACTAAAAGGTGCAATCTTAAAATTAAAGCTGCAAGCAGCGATGATAGGGACCTCGCACCCGGGCTCACCGCCGCCCGGTGGCATCAGGATGACAGAGAACAGCGAACAGTAATAATTTAAGCCGATATATTAAAAATATCTGAGAAAATCACAGATTTATGCCAAACTTCCTCCTGTCAGCAGGTGGCGCTATAACACTGACTCATGACTGGCATGTAGATGTCTTCAGGAGAGGAAACTTATCAACCATGTGAAGTTTTAGGCAGATCGGACATTGTTTGGCTGAGTTATAAGCCAAACTGCCTTTTTTCAGCAGGTGGCGCTATGACAGACTCAATGTTGTTATGTAGATGTGTTTAGGAGGGGACTTTCATCAACCTTGTGAAGTTTCAGGCAGATCGGACTTTGTGTGGTTGAGTTATACTGCAAACTACCATCTGCCAGCAGGTGGCGCTATAACTGTGACTTAAGATTGGCATGTAGATGCCTTCAGTAATGGAATTTAATCAACCATGTGAAGTTTCAGGCAGATCGGAGTTTGTGTGGTTGAGTTATAAGCCAATCTACCTTCTGCCAGCAGGTGGCGCTATGACTGATTCAATATTGTTATGTGGATGTGTTCAGAAGAGGACTTTTATCAATCATGTGAAGTTTCAGGCAGATCAGACATTGTGTGGTTGAGTTATAATAACTTCCTGTTCCATGGCGAAGCGTTGAGGTTTGTCATGCCACCACGGACACGCCCCTCTGCAAAAACTCTAGATCTTCACAATATATCATCGCTAGAGCTTTCAGATAACACCACTCTATTTTGGTGCTGATACGGGAAAGTTTGTGGAAGGAGTTTGTTACAGTGTCAAACATTTCATTTCCTGTAGCCAGCAGGTGGGGCTATAACTGTAACTGGATATCGGCACGTAAACCTGTTCAGGTCAGGACTTTTATCAAACGTGTGAATTTTGAGGCAGATCTGATAATGCATGCCTGAGTTATAACGACTTCCTGTCTTGTGGCGGATCATCAACGTTTGCGAGGCCGCCACGGACACGCCCATCGACAAAAACTCTAAAGCTTCGCAATTTAACATCACCAAGGCCTTTAGATGACAAAACACAATTTTTATTGTCAATCAGATAAAATCCCTAGGAGGAGTTCGTTAAAATATAACGCCTAGAAATGGCAAAAGAGCCACTTTTTCGCCACAGGAAGTTAAAAATATACGACTTCCTGTTGAGTTTGAGATATGGCTCCAAGAGACTTTTTCGTATGTTTTGCCATGTTTGAGGTGTGTGCCAATTTTCGTGCATGTGCGTGATTTGTAGATCGGGGGCTCGTCCGTTTAATTTTTATAGGTGGCGCTGTTGAGTCGTTTTGCCACGCCCACTTCAATATTGTTATGTGGATGTGTTCAAGAGATGACGTTTATCAACCATGTGAAGCTTCAGGCTGATTGGACATTTTGTGGTTGAGTTACAAGGACTTCCTGTTCCATGGCGAAGCGTTGAGGTTTGTCATGCCGCCACGGACACGCCCCTCTGCGAAAACTCTAGATCTTCACAATATATCATCACCAGAGCTTTCAGATAACACCACCCAATTTTGGTGCTGATACGATAAAATTTGTGGATGGAGTTTGTTACTCCGTAAATCATGTCATTTCCTGTGGCCAGCAGGTGGCGCCGTAACTGTCTCTGGATATTGGCATGCAAATGTGTTCAGGTCAGGACGCTTATCAAGCGTGTGAATTTTGAGGCAGATCGGATAATGCATGCCTGAGTTATAACGGCTTCCTGTTTCGTGGCGAATCGTCAAAGTTTGCGAGGCCGCCACGGACACGCCCATCGACGAAAACTCTAAAGCTTCGCAATTTAACATCGCCAAGGCCTTTAGATGACAAAACCCAAATTTGGTGTCGATCGGATAAAATCCCTAGGAGGAGTTCGTTAAAATACGACGCCTGGAAATGGCAAAAACGCCACTTTTTCGCCGCAGGAAGTTAAAAATATCCGACTTCCTGTTGGGTTTGAGATATGGCTCCAAGAGACTTTTTCGTATGTTTTGGTGTGTTTGAGGTGTGTGCCAATTTTCGTGCGTGTGCGTGATTCATGGATCGGGGGCTCGTCCGTTTAATTTTTCTAGGTGGCGCTGTCGAGTCATTTTGAGACGCCCACTTCCGAAGCCCATAACAAACGTAAATTTTCGCCACTTCTGAGGCGTGTGCAAAGTTTCGTGAGTTTTCGGGCATGTTTAGCCCCTCTAAATCGCGATTCATTCCGCGGAAGAAGAAGAAGAAGAAGAAGAAGAAGAAGAATAATAATAAACAGAGCAATTCCAATAGGGCCTACGCACCGTTTCGGTGCTCGGTCCCTAAATATAGCTACAGGACAAAACAACTTCGAGAAAAATAAGTATTTTTATTTATAAATGATATAGGCCTAAATTCTGCACCAGTTCTATCAATTATAATGTAAATATGTTCTGATTTTTCCAGATTTGTAATACACACACTTTAGCAAAGACATGATGCTGCTCGAAGGAGGAATGGGCTTTTTGAGCTTCCACGCGCCCCCTAGTGGCCTTAATGTAGTATCTTAATGGATTCAGCAGCGCGGCGCTGCCTTCTGGTGGAAGCATCTTACATTTTGAATTACGACATTTAAACTAAAGGACTGCGTTAATGTGTTTCCATCGGTTGCCTTGATGTTTCTGTAACCTCTGCTTTGTAACGGTGTACCACTTACACTGTGTATGTTCATGGCACGAGTGTGTGGGAGTCCACAGTGACGCGTGTTTTCATGATGGAGATTCTGGGCAGCACGTTTGATGATTCGGTGTTTGAAGAGTCGCGGGACAGAAGAGTCTCCACTGCTCTGCCCACATACCAGCCCAAAATCTGCGAGCCTTTGGTCAGTACTACATTTAATACACAACTAATACACAAACGACACATGTATTCCACGATATTATCTCATGGTATGCACAATGCAGCTTAAACTTCGAGTTGCTTCCGAGAAAACTATGGTAATACTATGGTAATAATTAAAGTGAGATACAGTAGCATGCCATTTATAACGTGCCATTACATATAGACATTTTCGTGGGAATTGTATTGTACTGCATCATAA